CCTTGCCCCTCAGGAAGTATGCTCCCTAATATCAAGTCCTACAGCACCCCAGGTATAGAAGCTGCCTCTTCTACCTGAACAGCTCACTGCTCCTCTTCACCCCAAATTCCTGTCTTGAGAAACCATTGCTGTCTGTAGAGATCTTTGTGACCTCCACTGTCTTCCTAAGGCCAAGGGGTCCATTTATGTGATGGTGCCATGTGACATTTCATGGAGGACAAAGGCCAGGTTTTTCTATCCAGCTTTCCCTGGCCCTCAGTATCCTACCTAGCACACAGTGGGCATTCAGGAACTATTTGTGACTGCTGATGCTCATTCGGCAAGGGTTCATAGGTGTGAAGCAAGCTCGTCATGAGTTCTCATTGCAGTGCTTCAGGCAATGAGCATCTTCCGAGGTGGTCATTTTTTCTGTCCTTATTGGGTTCTCCATGTTTTCTGAGTTTTTCCCATCTTCTCAAGTCATGATTCATGTGCCATGTGTTCATTATCCTGTAGCTAACTGGCTTAGGTATTTTCTTTTTTTTTTTTTTTTTTTTTTTGTTGTTGTTGTTGTTGTTTAACTGAAGGTAGAGCTCAGTGACAGAGGGGTTTAGCAAGAGTGAGGTCCTGGGTTCTATCCCTTGCACCCAAAAAGATGAATGAGAGCAACTGAACTTTCTGTAGCTTTATGTAGAATTGATAGAGTGTTCTCTGAATTCCAAACAGTTTATTCATACTTCTAGGGAGTGGCTATATAATTTGTCACTGAAACCTGGATACAACTGAGAGTAAAAGGGGCCATACTAACTAATAAGCCAGGACTATAAACGGCCCTGACAAACCCAGAAATGTGGTCATGAAATTATGATAGTAGCTATGTATTGAACTGTAAAGCTTTTCTAGGCTGACGTGGGCCTTGTTTCTCCTTTCTTTCTTTATTGTATGGGACTGTGCCTGTTACCTGGTCTGCCTGAAGGACTGACGGTGCCTCTCTGGAAGCACTCTTTTGGGGCTGGAAATATAGCCCAGTGGTAGAGCACTTGCCTAGCATGTGAGAGGCTCCAAGTTTACTTCCCAGAATTACACATACACAGCAAAGTTCATTTTATTGATTCTGCTCTCTTTAGGGCTTAAACAGTCCCACGCAGTGCCTTTTATGAACTTTTGTTTTGAACCAGGGCAAGGAGCTTAATTAGATGCTTGTGTGGTTATGATGGTTAATGTTTTCTTGCTGGTACTTAGCTTGGGCCTGTGGGTTCTCTCAATGATTTTTCAAAACAGTTGTCAAGGTAGACATTATTAGCCCTATTAAGTGAAAAGATAGGTTTGGAAAGAGCTTTGATCTGAGCCACATTGCTAATTATGCACCAGAGACTGGATTTGACTCCAGCTTCTGATTCCATACACCATTTCCTTTCTAAATGTGGAAATCTAGCTGCTATCAAGTTTTGGAAAGCAGTTAAAAATATAAATATCACACTTATAGGAAAATCAACTTGCTTTGAGTTGTATGTGTGTGTGTGTGTGTGTGTGTGTGTGTGTGTGCCTGCGCGCATGCACAGTGGGTACACAGAGGCCAGAGATCGACGGCCTATATCCTTTATCATTCCCCATCTTGCTTTTAGGGATAGGGTCTCTCTCTCTCTCTCTGAGTCTGGGACTTGCTGCCTAGGCGAGTTGGGGATCCTCTCTGTCTCTGCCTCCCAGTGCTGGGATTACAGGCTTTTCCCATGGGGGCTGGGGGGCGGAACTCAGTCCATCTGTACTGTATAGCAAGTACTTTTCCCTACTGAGCCACCCCCCCCCCCTTTGAGATCTTCAAACGAAGATTTATCTAATTTAGTGACTTTGCAGAATCGGGCCAGTGTGGCAGCCCTGTGAGCTCAGAAGCGATTAGGAGCTGGTTGGACCAACATGTAGCGTCCTGCTGTCCTTGGTGTTTCCACTTGTCGTGGATTAGGAAGTGCACAAGGCAGCTTCTTTTGTGCTTTAATGACTGTGCTACTTATCAGTACCTTCAGAGGCAGGCTGCTGTGCAGTGATGAACGGTAGTGTCTGTTTTGTGTCCTTGTCCTTCTGAGGGAGCAAGATTGTACTTGGGAACAGTCTTAAAGACAGCGAAGACACATCCTGTCTTTTTGGTATTATCATAATTACAAATTGTGTCTTGACATAGTGAAACCCATTATCAATGATTTTTTTTTTTCTTTGTGAAAAAGAGCAAAATTTAACACCCACCCCTTTCTCCCTACCCAATCCCCAGACAGGGTCTCACTATGTAGCCTTGGCTCTGCTGGAACTCACTGTGTAGACCAGGTTGGCCATGAACTCACAGATTAAAGGTATGTATCACCATGGCTGGCCTACAACTTTATTTAACAAAATCTGAATTAAAAAAAAAATCTGAATCATGAGGTATAATTTGGAGCTTCGTTTTAAATCATAGAGAATAAGTTAAATATGTAAAGAGACTGCTACTTATATTGAGCAAACCATCATGTATTGTTAAATAATAGTATCTCTAAGCTAGGTGCATGCATGTAATTTCAGCATTTGAAAATCAGAGGCAGGTGGACTACAACAACTTCAAGGTCACCCTAGTCTACAGAGTGAGTGCCAGGCCAGTCAAATCTATGTGCAGTGAGACCCTGTCTCTGTCTTAAGAAGCCATAGCAGCAGTGGCAACAGCAGCAACAGCAGCAGCAGCAGCAGCAACAGTAGCAGCAGCAGCAGCAGCAGCAGCAGCAGCAAAACAATACCCATCTAAGTGAACAAAATTGTGTTCCTAACAAAAGGGAGTGTGAATGTTCCCAGCAACAAAAATTAGATGCTGTTCAATCACACACTTTATTTATTTGTTTTTTTGAGACAAGGCTTCTCTGTCCAGCTCTAGCTGTCCTGGAACTTCCTTTGTAGAGCAGGCTGGCCTCTAACTTACAGAGATCCTCTTGCCTCTGTCTCCCGAGTGCTGGGATAAAAGGCGTGTGCCACCATTGCTTGGCCTCAAGCTTTTATAAAATAAGAAATAATCTGTAACCATTCCCATAAGGATTGTTACCTCTTATGGATAAGTGGTAGTGAATATTGTTCAAGGTGATGTATTTGCATGTCAAAGAGAAATGCAAGCAATGTATGACACTTGGGAAATTTTTTTTTTTTTTTTGCCTTAGGAACGTTTTTTGAAACAATGTGCCTTTAAGTATTAAAATTTTTTTTTCTACCCTATCACATTATTCTTACTCAGTGAAATAGGATACAAGGATGTCACTGGCCAAAAATTGCATCAAATATCAAGTAAATGGTTACTCTACACAAAAGACCGGGAAAGTCCAAATGCTTCTGGGTGGGGTGTGGGTTAAAATCTAATGGTTGGTTGACAGGCAGAAAGTGGGATCAAGAGGAAACTGGAAACAAAATTGGTTATTTTTGTTGTTTTACATTTGCTATTATCTTGGGGGTGTTTAAATCTTTCCATTTCCTCGAGGCACTTGGGCTGCGTCATTTGATGAGAACAGTCATCACCAGCCTCTAAGGTCTACCATGTGTGGTTCAGTGGTCAATCACTCACCAGGCCAGAGTAAGCCCCTGGGTTTCACCCACAGCACCGCAGCAATCGAAATGAGGCAATCCACACATCCAGCTTCTGCCGGGGAAGACAGCCATACAAAAACAAAACTATGGACTAAATTGTGAAGATCCTTTCTGGAAGGAGAGAGCAAGGGCGAGGTGGGAAGGACTGAGGCTATGTGTCCATGCTGAGGAAGATCTGAGTAGAGCTGTGAAGGTTGACCACAAAGAAAGAATGTCCTAGTCCATCTGAGTGGCAGTCTGGGATATGCAAGCCGCAGTGGGTGATAGGAGATTGAATTCTGAGACCTACAGGGAAAAACCAAATTCCAGGGGCTTTGTCAGCCATTGTAAAGATCTTATCTTCCACAGTGACTGGAACACTGGTGGATTTTGATCAGATGAGGCATGGGCTGACTCTCCTTGAGGGAGGATATTCTCCCCGTTGTTTTGACAACACACTATGTTGATGGTGGTCAGGGAGGCCACTTAAGAAGGCTGCTGAAGTATGACTGGGACCTCGGATGACAGGAACAATGTAGGTGAAAAGTCAGATTGTGGTGTATTTGGAATGTAGAACCATAACAACTACCCTCACTGACAGAATGGATGAAAGAAATGAGACTGAGAGGAACCAAGGAGTTCTTCAGTTTTGCGATTGAACTGCTAGAAAAATACTTATAAATCGTGATGGGCAGGTAGCTCCATATCTGAGTATGTGTGGCTAGGTTTCAAGTGAAAGATGTTCATTTGTTTCTTCTGTCCGGGTGGACAGCCAAGGTAGTCATAAAACAGAACGTGGTGGCTGAGGCAGGAGGACTGGATTGCAGGCCAGCTAGGGTTTTACTCCAAAAGACCTTAGACATGTGACACATACTTGTAATCCCAGCACTTGGGAGTTGGAGGCAGGAGGATCACAAGATCCAGGCCAGCCTTAGCTACGTAGTGAGTTTGAGGACACCCTAGGTTATGAAAAGACCCTCTCTCAAACAACAACAAAAAAACAAAATAAAAAACCCAAAATAAAAACAAAAACCTATCTCACAAGAAGTCATAGAGACCCACTGGACACATTTCTCATGTCAGGTAGATGTTCTTGGCTCTACATCTGCCAATGAGTCAGTAATTCTGATTCCTTAAAAGTAACGTGACCCGAGCGTTTGAGCAAACAGTTCCGGACTGCTGAGAGACACCTGGTGCTGGCTAGCTCTTCCTTGCAGCGCCCACACTCGCTCTGGCGCGACCACGGCGGGATCCGGATAAGAAGGTGCCGGGGTTTCTATCTTCCCCACCGCCCATCTAGCGTTCACTCTGCGCGCCCTGGCCGTCCCCTGGGTCTCACCACGCCCTCACTGGGCGGGGCTTCGCGGCGGCCCGCCCGCTTACTGGGGGGAAAAGGGCGTGTCCGTATGGCGGGGGCGTGTCCGCGCAACCGCACACACCACTTGTGGCTCCGCCCCTGCGCGCCAGAGCCTCGGCGGGAGGGCGGAGCCCGGAGAGGGGAGCGCAGCTGCGGGCGTGTGGAGACCCCCAGAAGCGGCGGAGTCGGCGCTCGGAGCCGCGCGGCTGCAGCGGGCAGTCCAGACAAAGGCGACGGTGAGTGTGGGGAGGGCCTCACGGTAGCCCCGCGGCCCGAGGCGCCAAGTGCAGAGCCGCTGCCCGGAAGGTTGAGGGCGAGCGCGGCCCGGGCCTCGCCGCGCTGCGGACTCGGGCTGCGGCTGAGAGACTAAGGCTGCGGCGGCTCCATTTTCCCGGTCTGGGCGAGGTCCTCACGCGAGGACCGGCGAGCGGTGCTCTTCCTTCTCTGTGAGGCCGGCTTCCACCGTAGCCTGCACCTTCCCGACGTGGGAGGCGCTACGGAGCCCTCCCCCGGCCGCAGCCCCGCCGGTCTGGACCGGCGTAGAGCGGCCGGGCTCCCGGACCCCCGGCTCCCGCCCGGCCTGCCGGGACCCCGGGAGAGGAAGCCGGGCCGCTGCCTCGCAGTCGCCCCGGAGACTCTTACAGGTTGTTGCATTGGGAGCTCGCAGCCAGGGTGGTGAGCCTTACTAACGGGTGTGGTAGGTAGCGGCTCGCTGACGTCGCGTTTCGAGCTGAGGAGCAGTCGTTTGCCGGCTGATTTCGCGCAACCCCGGGAATTCCTCTTCTGCAACAGTGATTGCTGCTGATAAGCTTTCCTAGAGGAAGTTTGGTGATGATGTGGAGAGGGCAGAATTGAAAACGTTTGGGGCCTGGGAGTCCAGCTCAGTGGTAGAGAACTTGATTTGCATGTAGGAGGCCCTGAGTGGTTCAATCCCCAGCACTCCCGCCCGCCACAAAGAAAAAAGAACATTAAATGCTTTATTAAAGGGCCTACCGCATCATACATGCTCAGTAAAATACTGGTGCAATGAATGACTCTCAAAATACCACACAAAGCTGTTTGTACTAGCACGATTAGGCACATACCCTCTTGACTCAGATGGACTATTGGAGAGAACGCCTGGCATATTTCTGCCCCCGCCCAGTGTAAACTATTGATAACTATTCATCATCGCCAGCTTTGCATACAGTACGCTTGAGAGGTGGAATTTTGAGGGAAGTTGGTTACAGTTTTCTGTTTCATGGGCTTTATTTTTCATCTTCTTGGAAAATAACGGAGATTCTAAAGGTGTTTGGGGTGACTTTCGAAGCCTATCTTTTTTACTTAGTGGGAGTAAAGAAGTGTAATTGCTTTTGAGGGATTGTGGCATGGCCTCAAATCTTTATGAGCCAGGGAGAGCTTTGAACTTTAAGGGAGAGGACCTAATGTCCTCGCCCTGGTGGTTAAACATCCCCCGTTTACTCAACATACTCATTAAACATATATTAAGGGCAGAGACTGATGTTGGATGCTGTTTGTGGAAGAGAACACAGCCCCAAATTACTTCTCTGGTAAGCTTGAGCATGAAGTTTCTTCTGTGGTATCCCTGTAGGACTGCCTCAAACCCCCAGGGCCACTTCATTTGGAAAAGATGGCTGCTGAACTTCAGGCAGTGTTCATTCATAGCATTTTACTTAAAAGTTAATAAGTAACTCTTAAGGCTAAGATTATTGGGTTATGGTTTCATTTTCAGCTTAATAGAATCCGTGTAGGTTTTAAAGTGACAGGAAGAATGGTTTCAACAAGGTGGTGTTTTTATTCTCCCCTCAACTAGATTTTGATGCAGTGTTTTTATTGATAGTGTGATTCCAGATCTGTTTCAGTAAGAATCTTTGAAATAACATTTTCTACATTAAAAATCCCTGTTCTGTGGTTAGACCAGTACCTACTGCTCTTCTAAAGGATTGGAGTTAAGTTCCCAACACCCACACCCAGTGGCTCACAACTGCCTGTGACGGGGATATGATGCCCTCTTCTGGTTTTCATGGAGGACTGGAATATAAATTACACACACACAGCAATAATTACAAAACAGTAATTAAAAAAAAAATCCCCCCAAATAGGCTGGAAATGTGGGTCAGTTGTTACGAAGCCCCTCGTTCATTCACCAGCACCACAAACTGGTATGATAGTATGAGCCTTAATGCCAGCATCTGTGACAGTGAGGGTGGAAGGATTATGATTTTAAGGCTGTCTTTGGCCCATATAACAAATTTGAGGCCAGCTTGAGCTTTGTGAGACTAAAAAACAAAACAAAACACCCACGACAAGATAAATTAGTAGCCTTCGTTTTTGTTTTGGATATTTTAGCCATTTTGTTTTATTTCATTTTTGACAGAGCTGGGGATGTGGCTAATGGCAGTACACTTACGTAGCGTGCATGTACCAGGCTCTGGGTTCCATCTTCAGTACCGCAAAAGAAAGGAGTTGGGTAGAAAGAAAGAAATACCTTAAATAAAATACTTGTTCACCAGTTTTGGCTCCTTGTTTATCACTAAAAAAAAATACACTATTGACTAAATAGTGTTGACAAGAGAAGAATTATTAGTGATAATATGTGGTGCTGTTTGAACTTCCGTGCTGATATTACAACTATGGTAAAACTGCGTATCGAAATGAGGGTGTAGGCTAGGCCCAGTTGTGTATGCCTTTAAGTGCAGCATTTGGGAGGCAGGAGGCAGGTGGATCTCTTAAGTTGAAGACCAGCCTGGTTTACATATCTAGATTCAGGCCAGCCAGAGCCACAGAATGAAATCCTGTCTCAACAGGGGGGAAGAAAAAGGATGTATTCTGAGGAAATACCTTAGTTGCTAGTTTGTTGAGCATGCGTGAGGCCTGAGCTTGTGCCCCAGAGCAGCATAAATCAGGGTGCATACCTGTAATCCTCCCACCAAGCGAGGTGGAGGTAGAAGTAGGAGAATCAGAAGTTAAAGGTTATCCAGTCCAGCCTAAGCTACATGAGACTATTTCAGAACAAAACCAACCAACAAAAATAGCCCCTTCAAATGACAAAAAATATTCCCCCTCCTCAACCCCCCCCAGCAAACAGTGAAGACTTATGGTATAGCTTGGTTGATGAGAGTGGTTTCCTAGCATGCATGAAGGGCTTTGATCCCTCTGCACTGTGTAGAACAAGGGGTTGTGGTGTACTGCAGCATTGCCTCAGGAAGGGGTGGAGAGTAGTCTTGCATTTAGTATGAACATAAAGTTCCTGTTGTCTTTTGTTGTTGATGTTTTTGGGTGAGAATGAACCAGGGCCTCATATGTTTCACATCAGTTGCAGCCATACCCCATTTTCATTTTACATTTATATTTTCATGTATGGCTTAAAAATAGTGAAATTATGTGTCACATTACGGCTTTCTGGTCAACAGCATTGACTTTTTTATGGCTGTTCTAGCAATAATAGGGGAAGAGTACATTTGATAGAATGTTCTGATTTTAGATGTGTAGAGATTCAATTTTCAGTATTTTTTTTTCAAGGAATAATACAAGTAACCCCCCCCCCCCCTTTTAGTGATGGGGAATCATATCATGATAGTTTTTTTCTCTTTGTTAAAAATATTTTTAAAAAATTATTTATGTATTGAGTGTTCTATCTGCGTATACTCCTGCATGCCAGAGTTATTCAATCCCATTTTAGATGGGTGTGAACCACCATGTGGTTGTTAGGAAGTAAACTCAGGACCTCTGGATGAGCAGCCAGTGAGTGCTCTTAGCTGCTGAGCTGTCTCTCCATATTTCTTTAAAGTTTTTTTTTTTTTTTTTTTTTTTAATTTCATTTTAGGTGTAAGAATGTTTTGCCAGCTGCCTGTGGTGCTGCATGCCTATAGTCTCATCACTTGGAGAGGCAGAGGCAGAGGGAGGTGGATCTCTGTAGTTCGAGGCCAGCCTGGTCTACAAAGTGAGTTCAGGACAGCCAAGGCTCTACAGAGAAATCCTGTCCCCTTAATTAAACAAAAACAAAAACAATTTCTGTTTTTATTTTTAATTATGTGTATTTATGTGTCTGGGTGTGGGTATGTGCACATCAGTGAAAGTGCATGCTTGTAGAGGTCACAGGAGGGAATGGAATCCCCTAGAGCTACAGATAGTTGTGAACCACCAGATGTGGGTACTAGGGGCCAAACTTGGTTCCTTTGCAAAAGCAGTATGTGCTCTTAACAGCTGAGGCATCTCTCCAGCCCTGACAGTTCTTTAAATGTTACATTTCTTGTAGGAAGAGTTATGTGAGGATACACACCACATAGGCTCAGTCTGTAGAATGCAGTAGTGTCTGGGTTTGCGTAAAGTATACTCATACATATACACAGTCATATGGTGTGGAAACACCTAATGATACATTTTGCCGAATCTCTCCATCATTGAGTGTTGTTTGAAGTTGAAATTTTAATGTTCTGTAAAGTGCATTTCCATTATTACAAGGTAATGAAGATTCACCACTGTTTTTACAGTTAGCTTTTGAATTTAGTTGGCCCTTGTGACTGCAGTATTTTATCATTGCATAGACTATGTCACAATTCAAATAGGACTTCCCAAGTTTAGACACTGGCTGTTAGTTTTCCCTCCCTCCCTCCCTCCCTCCCTCCCACCCTCCCTCCCTCCCTCCCTCCCCCTCTTCCTTCCTTTTTTTTTTTTTGTTTTTGAGACAGGGGTTTCTCTCTGTTTTAGCCTTGGCTGTCCTAGAACTCACTCTGTAGAGCAGGATGGCCTCAAACTCATAGAGCTCTGCCTGCCTCTGCCTCCTAAGTGGTGGGATTAAAGGCGTGCACCACCACTGCCTCACTCTTTTCTTTCAAGACAGGGTTTTTCTGTATGGCAGCTCTGGCTGTCCTGGAATTTGCTTTGTAAAACCAGACTGTCCTGGAACTTACCAACTCACCAACCACCTGCCTCTGCCTCTTGAGTGCAGAGGTAAAAGCATGTGCCACCTTATTCATTTGTTTGTTTGTTTATTTATTTATTTATTCATTCTGTTAGCTTTTAAAATGACTATTCTTAGAAGTAACAAAAGAAGTAATGAGTACCTGAAAACAGAATTTTCTGATTTTAAACTTCCTGGTTGTTTACTTTTTTTATTGTAGTTGTTCTTAGGACCAATAAAAAGAAGTAAGCCCTAGATTTTAGTGGTAGAGAGTTGTGATAGTTTTAGAATATTGTACCATGACAGCCTAGTATTATGAGAAACCTTAGGGTA